TTTTTTGTTTAAATTCCAGCGTATGTGGGAAGAGTTTATTGTGGAGCTTTTTCCTGTGTCACCGCGATGGGCTGATGAGAACCAGATGAAGGGAGAAACACTGCAGGAGCAAAGAGGGGGATGAAGGGAGGGGAGAGGAGGGGAGGGGAGGGGGAGAGCCAGACGGGATCCACTCTCCCCTCCGTCCTGACGCTTCCTCCTGCCCTGCCCCTGTGTCCCAGTCCAAACTGGGAGCTGCGTACAGGATGGGCTAACGTACAACGACAAGGATGTGTGGAAACCAGAACCCTGCCAGATCTGCGTCTGCGATAGCGGCAACATCCTCTGCGACGAGGTGATCTGCGAGGACACCTCCGACTGTCCCAACGCCGAGATCCCCTTCGGAGAATGCTGCCCCATCTGTCCCGACACCGACGGTACAGTGGCGTGTCCCCCAGAGCTCTCCGACCGCCGAGTTATCCGTCCAGGGGGTCCTTGAGGACCAGTGGGGCTCAGTGTCCCCCCCGCTCCCCATGTCTGGGCTGTTGGGTGGGTGTGGGATTGGTGGGTGATGTTGGGCTGCTCTGAACGCCCCTTTTTCCTCCCACAGCCTCCCCTGTCTACCCAGAAAGTGCTGGAGTAGAGGTAAAGGCTCCCCCAAAATTAATCCCACAAAACCTCCCGACATCCCCCCTCCCCCTGTATTTTTGGAGACCCCCTTTTCTAACCATCTGTTTCATCTCTCCACCACAGGGTCCTAAAGGAGACACCGGCCCCAAAGGAGATAGGGTGGGTATCACCCCTGCCCCAGGGTGGGCATCACCCCTGGGACCCCTGGCCCACTGGGGCTCACGCTCCTCTTCTCTCCCCCCAGGGACTCCCCGGCCCCCCTGGCAGAGATGGCATCCCTGGACAGCCTGGTCTCCCGGGACCCCCAGGCCCTCCAGGCCCCCCAGGCCTCGGCGGAGTGAGTATGGGGGGTCCTCAGTGATGCAGCCCCCCGGGGGTCCCACGCCCTGCTC